TTGACATTACTAGTAATCACTAAATCAAGTACTTGTTGAGCTATTCTTACCTTCAGTACTCATTAACTAAAGGTACAGGAACACTGCTGCAGATCCCACACTTACACCTGACAGCAGTGTTTAAAAGGTTTGGGGTAATGTGGCCAGTAAGTCTAACTGCTTTCTTGGGAATCACAGGGCTTCTGGGAAACACAGCTTTCTTACTTTCACTTTTACTATGTTGTGGGAGGGGTTTGTGGGGGTCTCAGTATATATAACGGGAGCAGTGCGAACATTTCTGATAAGACTGCAACATCTATGCAGACCAGGCTGAGCTAAGGACGCACACAGTAAAAGGTAGGTTTACATATCATGATATGGTGTTTTGAATTTAGTCTTAAATATTGGAAAATTTTGTTCTCTGGTGACTCTGAAGGCTACCGAACCCAAAAAGGGTGACGTGAGGGTGCACTGTGCTTGTATAAAAGGGATTGGTAGAAGAGCGGAGGTAAATGACACAAAAGTTCAGAAGCTTGTCCTGGCATCCAACTCATGTTGGATATAAATGTTTATAGTGGAAACAATAACCTTTCTAAACAATCTCAGTGCTTCATGTTGTGACATTTCCTCTGCAGGCTGAACTCTCTCTCTCTCACACACACACACACACACAGTATGCTCTTACATTTAGAATGAGTTGTTTAATATAATGTATTTATTTATGTGTGTTTATTTATTTGTGTAATTTACAAATTCTCTTACAATTGTCCATTTTCTTTAATGCTATTGGGTTTTACAGAGATAACGCTTGTAATTATTTATATGTCAGTAATAGAAAAATAAATAAATAAACAATAAAAAGGATAAGGAATTATCAACAAAGTGCAACACCGAAGGAAAAATTCATCAATCATATTATTAACGAGGACAACAAACTGCAAGCTGGTTTTCATTAAAAGTAATTGTTCTCCTCTAACCTGGAGCATTAATGTCTCGGGTCTCTAAATGTAGCTGGCTGTGAGACAAGTGTGCAAGCACTGTTTGCAAAGTGCAACACTAAGAGTAACATTGTCATTGTACAAGTTGGACAAAGGAGCAAAGTGACATTCGGAACTAAATTGTGTGCACATCAATGTTTCTGCAAAATTTAGGCGCCCTCGGGTGTTGAAGAACGGAATCACATGTTAATCTATTCCTGAGGACAATGAAAGTAGGAAATAACCCCTAAACTGAAAATTTTCATGCAGAATTATACTACATGTATACTTAAAAGTAGTACTTATTATTTCAAATACTAATGTTACATTTTGCTCTATTTTCCTTTGACTGTAAAGATGAACAGACAATAAGATGGAAGACAACAATTTTAGCACAGCAACTGGAGAGGGAGGAGAAAGTGAAACCAATTCTGTGACAAAGAACAAAGGTAATCAGAATTTCTTTAAAGAACATTTGTTAAAAATGTTGATGATACTACTGATTTGATAGTTTAAACTTCAGTTGTTTTTGTAATTTTTTGTTTGTTTGTTTAAGAAAAGCTTTATACAGCTTCAACAATGCTGTTTTTATAATCTGTAGTGTAATCTACTGATGTTCTTGTGTTTGTTTCAGAGCTGCCTAAGCTCACACTTTTGTTAATTGGTGACTCAAACTCCATTGAGATTGGACCAAAAAACATCTTACTTGACCATGAAGAGAGAAGAAACGTGGAACAGTTTTCATCCAAACTGTATGATTTCTGTGGTCGACACATCTCTCTCATTAACATGCTTGGTTTAGAAAACATTGAAGAAATCCCGGTAAACCAGGATATTCATGCCTTTCTATTACTGTTACCATATGGTCTGCATAAC